ACTATATAATTGTGTGAATGGCTGTCCTGGAGCATGGCTTTGACAATGAACAATAAATGGGGCTATCATGGGATCATGAAACCGCACAATCCTCGGTCTAGAGAGAGTGAGGGACACCTGGGATACAAATGCGTTGATTACACAGTAACGGCTCAGACCATGAAAGAGAAATATACACATACATGCCATGCGAGAGGCAGAGACTTGATATTAATAAGAAGAAGGAGTATGACAAAGTTCCTCCATGATGGAAGCTGTCGCAGCCATTTGAGGATGATATTTGACTGCAAAACGGCATGGACGGCTGAAAGAGCAGCCATGTTAACTTCTATCTTCCAGGCTAAGGAGATATTCTATCCATCATCTATTAGCTCCTGCCCTCTCATGCTTATTGTTGTTTGTTGTTTGTATCTTATCTTGACATACCTATCTGAGGTTTGCTGGCGCTCTATCTTTTTCATCTGACTGAACCAAGAAGTGAAAACCAGATGAGATTTATTCAAACCAAATCAAACCAAATCACAAGCAATGGAACAAATGACTTCCCAAATACTACCAAATGGGCATATGGATTTCCAGATATCAGTTTCTGCAAGGGCAGAGACAACTGCAGGAGGTGAGATCCGTTTTTTTGATAATAGGGAGCTCCAGAAGGGGATAAAAAGAGCATGAAAGAGAGCAGGAAAAAGAGAAACCACAAAGCAAGAGGCAAAAAGAAAAACAACAGAAGTTCAAGGGCCGCTATCTGGGGACAAAGAGGAGATGAAGCTGGATATAACACACAGACATAGTTAACTACAGATATACTAAGTATATAACACACAGCGCATGGATTGGACCCCCGTTGTTGAGGCTGACAGCAACCGTTGATGGGCATGTGACTTCAACCGAGGCTTCTCCAATCCCCAAGGTATACAGCGACGTGATTGGCTAGTTCCCACGTGGTATGATGTAATCTATATACATGTGATTCTGACTTGGTAGGTAAAGTTGTTGTCGCGGGAGGAGCATATCTCAGGGAAAATTTCCAGCAAAACGTAGGTACGCAGTAGTTATCCTAGTAACTAGTTAGTAGTGTTACGAAGAAGACCAAGAATAAAACTAGTTAATTACTACTAAGTCTCCGATACATTTCTCACTCTCGACTGTTTTGCTCCTTGGATATGGGTTTGGTAGCTGCATAACTACTCGTACTAATACACATTGCCAATAACAGAGCACACAGCGTGAGATATATATACATCATGCTGAGGCAGCCAGTGTTCATAACCGTGGATACAATACAACCCCTTTGGAATAAACTTGTACACTCCATTTTACTGGCTCAGAGGAGCGGCCGACTTGAAGCCTGCGGGCGCCTATGTAGGAAGGAGATACCGGAAGATACCGGAAGGAGATATAGGAGCGAGCACGACGAAAATAGCCATTAGTACGACATCCGAGAGGAGTGGATAATTTGAGCAATTCTTCAAACTACCCAAGAGAATTGAATTGTTCTTGCTGTGCTGTCTGGTGTCTGTCTGCCTTTGGGAAGCTTCAGCCCTAAACACGGGAAACATCAGTATCAACAACCAGGATAGGATAGAGAGAGTCGGGGCAAAGGGCAGGAGGGACAAAAAGAGAACAACCCTGGAAATAAATGCTGGATGCTGAATGCTGACTGACCTGCGCTATGATCTGACTGCCAAAAGTTACCACCTCCCGCTGCAGCTTTGTTGCGATCCTGCATTTCTCCCGTCGAATGCGGCGCCTCCATCCCTGTCCTGTGTATTTCATTTCTCTGCGAGTATCCGTAATCTGCATCCATTCGTCCATCCACGAAGACCGAAGTACGTACATAGTACTCCGTATGGAGCACATCATCTGGCCTATCTTCGGGCCCTGATCGCCGCTGTTCACCCCAGCACGACGCCCCTTTTCCTGCCTAGGCGCCACGCCATTCCTCCCACGGTCCCACAGCTGCGTAGATTAGCTTCCAGCGGCGCCAGCTAACGCCCAAATGCTGCCCGGGTCCATTCGCAGCCAGCCAGTGACTGCCCTTGGCCAAGCCATTTCCCCTGGCTTGGCCTCGAGAACTCGCTGCGACCGTAATCCGTCGCCGGCCAATGGCTGGGATGGGATATTCACCGCGGCAGGGAATCAGGATAGTTATTCGATTACCACTACCACTACGGAGTACGGAGTACAGCGTCCTTGTGCCGTCGAACAATCCCAATTCCTTACTTATATACTCCGTACGGAGTACATATAGTACTGTGCTCTCCTTTTTCCTGCTGCCAAACAGGCGTGACTGGAACATCCGCTCTTTTGTTTTTCCTTGCGCTGGCTCAAGCTCTCTCCTCTCCTGCTGCTGTTCCTGAAACATTATTGAACCCCTTCGTCCCCAACATACGCTGCAATCCGTCGTCTCCCGGGTGATTGTCGCCAATAGATCTCCGCCCGTTCCATGTCGCTTCTGTTTCGGGCTTCGAGGGACGCCATCAACCCCCCTTAACTGGTCCATTATCCGCAAAGAAGGCATTGGCTCCCTGGGCACATCTGTACTCCGTACTCCGTACTTACAGCGTACTATGTCTGTCCGTCCGCCTCCACTGGGCGCCTCCATCCACAGTCACGCCAACCACATCTCGCCGTTGTCGTTGTCGTTGTCGTCGTCGTCTTCGTCGCCCGCTTCCTCTGTTGTTTCAACCGCGCCAGAGAGCTGCTGCTCCTCCTCCACCTCCTCCTCAGACCGTTGCTGTGAACGGCGGCCAAGCCTTTGTCCCCGTTGCTTCCCCTGTCCGTAGGAAGCCTCTCCCCACCTCGGCTTCCTCCTTGGACGCGAAGCTGTTTCCCGCCATCAACAGCAAAAACTTCAATAATAGTAGTCCACCAGCTTCATCGTTGGACTTTTCTTCAACTGGGTCTTCGTTTGCTTCTGCTTATTCTGCGGCTTCTTCTGCTGCTTCCTCTGCTGCTTCCTCTGCTGCTTCTTCTTTTTCTGGCTTTGTGATTAGAGACCTTGATCGGTGCGTTGATCTCTCATTTTTAATTAATTAATTAATTAATTTTTTTTTTTTTTTTTTTTTTTTTTTTTTTGTTTTTTTGTTAATCTATATTCTACTCCGTACAGTCCATCGTCTCCCTCATTGGTCTTTGTTCCGACAACCTTATTTTAAATTCTAGCAGTACTCTAGAGCTAATCTCCTTGTCTCTTCCTCCCGACCTATAGATTCCCTCACAGCCAACCCTCTATCTTCTCCTCCCCCAAAGAAATCAACCAACAAAGAGACTTCTCCTTCAACCCGGCGAATGGAAAATATCTGGAACAATCCGTTCATTCCCGCTTGGTCAGCGAGCCCCTGATCCCCCTCGCGTCTCCCACCCTTCCCCGGGACTCCAAGAAAGCCACGGATCGCAAAAGATCTGTCACCATGGCTTTACACCCTCAAGCAAACAAACCTCCACCTCTTCAGGTCGATGCAAGAAAAACAATGCCCAGTTCAGCTGAATATAAGCGCCTGCCAAAAACCCCAGGGAATAAAATCACTTCTTTTTTCGGCTGGAAATCATCGTCTTCTCCTGGCGCGGAATCGAGCAGCACCGACATCTCGGACTCTGGCCCTTCAAACCTTCCATCCCCGATCAATGGCTCGATCCTCCCTGCTTCCTTCTCGTCACGATATCCTTCTCAAGACTCGTACGGTGCTCCTGCCCCTCGAACGCTCGAACGATCGATTTCCATTGCCGAGCAGGAAATGAGCGCGAAGGTGAAAGAGATGGAATATGAGCTCCGTGGGATCAGTTCAGAGTTGGCTGGCTCCATCAAGCGTGAAATGGAATTGGAAGATTTGGTGGAGCGGTTACAGCTGGAAGCTACCGTGGGGCCGGAACCAAACCGACGCACTAGCGATTACTTCTCTGACTCGGGAACAAGCTCTGTGAAGTATCCGTCTAGTGACGCGGGCGGAAACAGAGCGGAGGAGGTCGAGAGAATGAAGCGAACCTTGGAACAGGAACGTGCGCAGTTGAAGGTTGAGTTATCCCAAAGGTGGCAGGAGGAGCGATCTCGCCGGGTCGCCTTTGAGTCTCATGTGCGGATACTGGAGGCACAAGTAGAGCAGGTATGATATCGTTGAATACACACACATACACACACATATACACACACACCTAGAGTTCACTCTCCAACTGCGTTTTCTGTTTGACTGACACCTGATTTTCAGCTGCGTCGTGAGAGAGTGGATGCCTCAAATATAAGCTCGAAAACAAAAGAATTAGAGACCGCATTAGAAGATACCCGGCGGCGTTTGACGGAAGAACGACAACTGAAGGACAACTTCGAAGACCTATTAACGGCTATGAGAGTCGAGCTGGAGCAGCTTCGAAATGAACGTGACCAACTCCGAGACGAAACTGTTCCGCAGCTTCAAACCAAATTACAGCATGATTTACAAGGATTGCGCAACGACAATATCACGTTGAGTCAAGCGAGGAAAATACAGTTAGATATGCAACAACAACAACAAGCTCGTATAAACTCCATTGCCGAAGAGGATGTAGTGTCGATGGGCAGAGGTGGTCTGTCGAGATCAAATTCGCTGGCGCGAGGGCCAGCGAGACCAAGCGGTCTAGGGGGCTCGGGATCTGTCTCAAAACCGGGCTCTCGACCGGCTTCGATTATTGGCAAGGAGCGTGAATTTAAAGAATCATTAGTCGATCGGATGAAGGACGTAGAAATGCAACGTGATGCCCTCCATCGAACTGTTAAGAGCCTCCTCGAGCATCAGAACTTGCAAGCTCGGGAAAACGCGAAGCGGATCCGCATGCTGGAGATTGAGCTCGACCGTGCCCGACAATCAAGTTCTCCACGAAAACTAGGCTATGAACGGGATGTTAAAAATTTACGAGAGGAAATTAACCTTCTCAGACGCCGCACCGACGAGCTGTTGGAGCAAAAATGGCAATGCGAGAAAGGATTGGCTGGTTTGAAAATGGACTTGGACCGTGCGGAGCAGGAGACTGGTTCCCTCCGTGCACTCCTGCAGGAACATGATATCCTAGTCCCAGCTGCAGCTAAAACTGACTTGGCAGATTTTAATGCATCCAGCTCCTCGCTTGAATACGCCTTCACGCAGCTTCAAGCTGACAGCGCTTATGTCCAAGACCCCAACAACGCTCTCGGGCTGCAAGTTCGCCAGCAATTAGCCGCAAACAATTCGCTGAAACATCGCCTTTCAGAGGCAATTGGCAAGGGCGAACGAGAACAAAACGACTCAGCTACCAGAATCAACGAATTACAAACTCGCCTCAAGTTCCTCGAAGATGCCCTAATGGCCGCACAGCAGATATCCGAAGAGGAAATTGCCAAGCACGAGCGCGAAATCCAGGTGCTGAAAGAAAACCACAACGCCCAGCTCATGCGGGCGAAGAATGGCAGCAGAAGCCCTGCTATGCTTTCCCCGAGAATGCCTAACTCACCTTTCTCCGAATCCCGGTCTCCGCGGCTTGGTCTAACGACAAGTGGAGAAGGAATCTCCCTCAGTCAGGCTACCAAGATGGAAGCTGTCGAAGCCCGTGTCCAGGAGCTTGAGAAGGCCCTGCGCGAAGCAGATCGGGAGATGGAGACTGTTGTTGGTCGTATGAATATGGCACAGATTGAGGTTGCTGAGCTGCAATCTGATAGGTATGCTTTTTCTTTTTCTTTTGTTTTTTTTTTTTTTTTTTTTTTTTTTTTTTTTTTTTTTGACCCACTTTCCCCCAACTACATGCTAACAATTTCGCCCCCCACCTTTACAATAAACAGAGACGAAGCAATCCGCCAGACCCGCAAGCTGCAGGCACAAATCCAAGCTGAGCGTGAAAAATACCAGAATGGATCTTCTCAGTAAAGGGAAACCACGAGAAATAAATCCAGGAACGAAAAACGTCCCATTCAATCTCTCAGACGACAGTTCCCACATGTACGCGATGGTATATACGCAAATACATATGTTATATTAATCACCTCAACCTAACCCCACCCACCCGCAACCTACCAACCGAGAAAGAGAAGACGTTATACATTTCAGCATATGGCATACGCATACATGATACACGTACACATATACCTACGCTTGCACTTTCACAGCTTTACAACCCTAGACATCCAACTGCCGTTGCTACTTTTCAACCCTTAGTTTTTACTTTTCCTTTTTAATTTCTCCCTCTGTTTCGATTATCATCAGAACTCCTTCCTCACAAGGCACAAGCCGTTTGTTTTCTCAGTTCCAGCCCTTTTATTCTTGCTTGCATCAGCCCAGGCGTCTTGCTTCTTTTTCTATTTTTTATTTACACTTTATATATATTTATTCGTCATTGGCGCGAAAATATATATGGGTTCTCTTTTCTGGCTTCAGCAAACAATGCCGTCTACGCGTCGCTTACTTATTTATACCCCTTTGCTTTTTTTGCTGGCTTGAAGGGATGTCTGTTTGGTTGTTGTTGTTCGACATTTCTGTCATTTCTGACGAACGTTTGTAACTCTTCTAGCTTTTTTCCCCCCTACTAATCTTCTGTTGTTTTTGTGACGAATTCAGAAGATTCCGCGCATACTTTTAGGTTCCAATTGGCGGGTGAATTATTTTGCTTTTCTTTTCTCCATTTATGATTCTACTTTGCATATTTGGCGGAGAGGCATATTTGGGTTTAGTGGCCTTTCCACCGCCCTTTCCTTTTGATTCCGCCCTTTCTCTC